ATTATAGGTAAAACAGGAAGTAGAATTAATAACTTTTTAACCTAGGAGATATAACTTACTTATATAGGTCTTAAGGGCAAGACCTTTAAGAGAAGAGACTTAATATTATAACCTAATAAGTTATAAGTAATATTACCTTACTTAGTAAAGTAACTAGTAGGTAGTAATAGTATTTATATAGAACTAATAGATAAGTATAGATAAGGTAACTTCTATAGATATAAAAGAACTATAGTATAAGTTATATAATAATAAGATTAAATAAGATCTATATATTAGAAATATAGAAGCTATATACTTAGTATATAGGCGCTGTATAGAAAATATATAGGTACTATAGTTTAAATATATAGCCTTACTTACTAATAAAAAGAATAAACTTATATATAGGATAGACTTAGACACACTTAAAGACAGACTTTTATAGCTCTTTAGTAATTAACTTCTTGTAATATAATTTATTTAAATAACTTTTAGTATTTAACCTTAGTAATTTAATTAATAAGAGCTATATAAGCTACCTTTATAACTATTAACTACCTAACTAATTACTAAGTAATTAATAGACTAGTAAGCCTACACTACTATTAACTAAGTATTAACCCTAGCTTATTTCTAGTAGAAACCCTACTATTAGATTACTAACTATAACACTAAGAGACACTTACTATTAGATTAACTTATAAGTGTACTCCTTAAGTAATACTTATAAAGGCTAATAATAGTAGGTCTCTTTACTATACTCTCTTAGTACTCTAGTGCCTTTATAAAGGTATTATTATTATTACCTAAATCCTCTTTAACCTTAGGAGATAATAGTAAGCTCTTCTTATTATTAATATAAGGGTAAAAAAGTAACTACTTTACTATTACTTTATTATTTATAAAATAAGTTAGTAATTAAGAAATAACTAAGTAATAATAAGTAATAATATACTAGTTAAAAGTAAATCTAGGCCTAAGTTACTTAGCTTCTTTTAACTAAAGTTAAAAAGGCTAGTCTTTAAAAAGACTACTTATTATTACTTTTAAGGAGCTATACTTATTCTTTAGTACTAAAATTAATTAACTAGTAATAAGATAATACTTATAAGACCTATCTATAGGGGGTTTTTACTCCCTTATAGACCTACTAAAGGTCTTTTTCTCTTTTTTAAAAGGAGACAAGGTGTACTTATAGTAACTATAGTAGTTATATAGTAGTTATATAGTAGTAAGACTACTATAGCCTTAAGGCCTATAGTAACTATAAAGGTATATATATAAGCTTTACTAAAGGTAATAGTTTTATAAGATATCTAAAAAAAAAAAAAGTATTAGTAATTAAGTAAAGTAATATAGTAATATAAAAAGATAATAAGTTAGTAATTAATTATAATAAAAATAATAATATAACTTATAATTATTATTATAGTTATTAAAAAAAAAGAGAAAAAAGTAACTATAAATTTAGCCTTAAAGTAAATATTTACTAGTATATAAGCTAGCCTTATAGTAAGTAGCCTTACTAATAAAAACACCTAATACTAGTAGCCTATAATTATATAATAACTAGCCTTTTTACACTAGAAGAACTATTTTTTTTTTATATCTAGGTGTATAATAACCTACACTAATACCTAAAGGGGTATATTATATAGGATATTACTAACTAACACTGCTTTCTAGAATAATGTTGCTTATTAATCTAACCCTTGCTCCTAAATTTAGATACTTGCAGTAGAATCTACTAAGTAAGGTAATATTTAAGGAACATAGATTATAGTACTATAGATAAAAGAAATAAGCTACTTTTAACTATATAAATTACCTCTCTAAACGTACTACTTAATAATATTTATTAATTAACTTATTATAATAGATAATTAGTATAAAACTATAGTAAAGATATTTATAGAGGTGTATTTTAGTCCTTGCTTACTCTAGGTATATAAATAATTAACTAATAATAATTACCTTTTCTTATAGACTTTACTAATCTATAGTTTAAATAGTAAAGTTAACCTAGATAGTTAATAGTAAAGTTAACTACTAATTAGTAATAGTAATACTAAAGGATAAGTTAATATAGTTAACTATATATATTAGTAGTAATTAATAAATAATTAAGGTAACTATAGTTCTTTATTATATATAGAGAGAAAAAGAATAATTATTATAGGTTAGTTAGTTAAATAACTAACTTATTACCCTTAAATTGTTAGAGAATCTATAGCTAATTATCTAAGAATTTACTAGTAATAAGTTATTAGGGTTAACCTAATAACTCTAATATTTATCTATAATAGTTAATATTATAACAAATAGTTTAAGCTTTTAATAAAATATATTTTTTTATATTTTTCTTTAATATATTACCTAATAGTTATTAAACTAGCTCTTATTACTACTAGAATTACTACTTACTATAATTCTAATAACTTATAGTTATTACTTTAATTTTCTAATAAAAGAGAAGAATACTACTATAAATTAGATATTTTTAGGTCTTAGTTAAAGAGGTAGAAGAAGGAGGTATATAATAATAGAAGCGTAATATAACGTGTATATAGGGGTTTAGGCTAAGACTTTTAGGTCCCCACTATAGTATCCTTAATATTAGCAGTAGTAAGAAAGCTGTTTGTCTCCTGCTTAAAGTAGCAAATATAAGCCTAAGTATAGTTGTAGGGCGTTAGGAGGGCAGACTTAGTACACATTAGGAACATAATAACCTTAATCCTGTCTTAACTCTTTTGCGCTTGCTTATTATATAATTAAAGACAACATGCGCTAGCCTCTTGGCGCACGCTACGTTTGCGCCAGGCGCAGTGTCATAGATAACTGTGGGAAACAGGGGCCATGGATCTTCAGGGTCAGGTTTTCCTGTAGCCTCCAAGACAGAGTATGCAGCGAAGATAGAAAAGCCGTCATAGCTAGGGGCTAGCTAGACAACTGTCAATTGTGGCCATTTGCTAACGGGGATATATAGCTCCCTGCGGCTCTAGCATCTCCTCCTCCTCCTTGTATTCCTAGCCAAGGAACTTTGTTTCTTTAAGCCTACTCCTTAGGCCAACTTTGAAATTACCTACGAAGAAATTTATTTACTGTAAGGATTTTATGCAAGTAGGTCACAGACGCGATTTGTAGATATGAGTAAATTGACGGCCCTGTTTGTTAGATTGACGGCCCTGTTTGTTAGATTGACGGCCCTCTGAGTAAGTCATTATGTTAGCCTCCGCAAGAAACCGCCCACAACAACATTTCGGCTTACCCAGCCTATCAGACCATTGTATTCTCAAACGTCCCACAATAGTTTCATAAGATTAAAAGACCTTGGATTTTAGTGATTTAAGGCAAAGTGGATATATTGCTAGCAAGTAATTAATTAACTAATTAAATTACTATGTGCTAACTTATAGCCTAAATTACTATTTCTAATACTTGTGCCTTGCGGAGGGTAATAACCTTGCTGTGAGAATAGATGTATACGACTAGCTAGTACTCTTTGAACGTTAACGCCTTAATTTTTGGCATTTTGGTCGTCTATTGGCAATCGTGGGTTTGCAGCAAAAAGGGCATGTTTTGCATGGGTTACCCACAGGTCAGTGTAGGGTAGGCGGTGGCTGTGGTGGCTGAAGGGCCGGCAATTTAACTATATCCTGATTCACAAGATTCGCGACGAGTCATAGGGGAATTTTTCATTACATTCACGCTAGAACGTGCATGAACTAATTTAATTCTTTGATAAGACTGATGAGGAAAAATCAACAGGGAAAGTGAATATACCTATAGCTGCCGTTCCTTAAGATACTAGTTAATATATTACCCATAAGCTCTAGTTAGGCTGGCTTTGTATAAATTTATTCCAAAATCTTCACAACATCAGGCTTGATTTTAGTTCTATCCCCCACTAGGTCCCTGCAAACCCAAAGCAACCGTTAGGAACTAGCATCATGAAGCTCATAGTCACAGTCGTCTATAGCGCAGCTATTGCTTCATGCTTCCCCAATCCAATGCCTCCAAGCACCAAAACTGCCGCCGCGCCCATCTACAATGCCCCGACCTTTCTTCGGGCTCGCGCTCCTGATCCCCGTCAAGAGCTATACCAACGAGCTGTTGAAGCACAAACAGCCGCCAGGCAACCTAGGCTCGAACCCAACCACTACTATTACTTTATAGCCTGCGGCCGTGGAGACAACACTTGGGCTGAGTTCAAGGACGGCATTGACTTGAGAATACCTAGGCCCCAGCCAAAAGAAGGCCGACCGCCCTTACCTGAGACCCCGAGCGAACTCAGAGCCAAGAAAGATGAAGCGGCGTGGAAGAACGGTCAAAAACGTGTTAAGGAAAAGACAGGCTGCGACCATGTCGGATTTGTCGTCGGTGAGGTCGCCAAGCCTGGCGTTTTCACTCAGAAGCTATTATTCAAAGCCCAATTATACTATGTGGTTCCGGTTTCCTCTCCCAGCCGGACGGAGAGAGGCTTGTCTGTTGCCAGATGGCAGAGTAAAACTTTGACAGGCAATGAAATCCCAGGAAACTTAAAGTATGTTGAAAACAAAGGCGAAAAAGCCCCCATGCCTTCCATAATAGCCGGAACCCTTTCGAGCCGCTTGCTACAATAGTAACTGAATACTAACATACGGACTACTAGATTGATATATGTTGGCAAGACAAGTGAATCCTTGTCTGTTATTGCGTATACGTATGGTATGTACGACCTA